TATCAGCGTGCTGCTTGCCCATTTCTATCTTTCGCTCAAATTCAGAATGCTGAAAATGTTTCTTCTTTATCAGTAAGTAATTTCTGAATTATTATAATTTCATTATTTTTCATTCTTTTATCATTTAAATGATTTAAATTTTTAATATGTATTTCTGATAGTTCCTCATATTCTGATATGCAGTAAATAAGGATTATCGTCATTTAAATGATTTAAATTTCTATTATGTATTTCTGATAGTTCCTGATATTCTGGTATGCAGTAAGTAAGATTTATTGACATTTAAGTGGTTTAAATTTCTAATATGTAGTAAGATTTATCGACATTTAAATGATTTGAATTTCTAATATATGTTACTGATAATTTCTGATATGTAGTAAGTAAAATTTAACCTTTTCAATTAGTCATGATGAATTAGAGTGATAAAATTTTGTGAAAATTCTATAAATGTTTAAAATTTTATAATAAAAATTTTTCATCAACGAAAATTCTAACACAATCTCCACCAAATTTTCTACTTCCCGTCGTTGTTGAAGATTTATTGAAGAATGTGCTGCTTTCTGTAATACTTTTCTTTTTCCTTCTCCATTTAATTTCCACTGTTTAAATCAGCTTAACTTTTTTAAATTGTAATAAATAAAATTTTAAAGTTTTCGTTAATGAAAAAAGAAACACCTGAATTATTACCTGCTGATGATAATGAATTGATATCTTTAATTGTACGTTCTGCTATAAATTATTTCGAAAGTATAGAAAAACGAATTATTTTAACTTCAATTTATAAGTATTAAAATTTGTGGCAGCTTATGATAGAAATGAATTTGATATCGATTAAATTTAATTTACTTCGTTTAAAAAATTTATTGATTCATATTTTTAAATGTTTATATGAATTTGAAATATTAAGTTGCAGAAGTGGTATTAATCCATAGTAGTATATTTCATCGAAAATTTAAAATGTTAATAGTTCCGGAAAGAAAGAATTATGTTCTGATTTTATCTTTAACCATTATCTTTGATATTATTTATTTTATATTAAGTTGACAGTTTAAAATTTCCTATTTCATCTGTGGGATAATTTTAATATCATTTATAAGTGCACTAAGTAGAATATATTTTATATGACACAAGTCTAATTTACAGTACTTATATAACAAGCATAATTTACGGTGCTTGTATAACAAGCCTAATTTACAGTACTTATATAGGCTATATTTATTTTAGAACTTCATAGATTTATCAGATAACTTTTTAAAATAGGATAAAAATTTTAGCGATAAATTTGCTAGATTATTTTGAATGATTGACTATTTAATTTAAGATTAATTATACATACTGCATTTTAATAATTAATCATGAATTAAAAAGTACCAATAATTAATCATGAATTAAAAAATATGTACGATTAATTAATTATGAATTAAAACGCTAAGCGTTCATTAAATCTTAAACAAACAATATGTTTACTTCATGTTTAAGTACCATGTTAAGTTAAATACCATGTTTAATGGTACTTAAACTAGTTCCTTTTACTAGTTCCTTTCCCTATTATTCTGCTAAACTCTATCCGGTTTAAATACTAAAATATAATAATTTAGCTTTAGCTAAAAATAGATTTCAATAACTATTGAAAATACTAAAATATAATAATTTAGCTTTGGCTAAAAATAGATTTCAATAGCTATTTTAAATGCATTTTTCCGTCATTTGTTTCTTTTAATCAATTAACTTCCAAACAATTCAAAATTTAAATTTATTTTATTATTTAAAATTCAACTTTCTTAATTGCTATGTAAAATATTTTATCATAAACTTACAGCTGAGACGTTCTATTTTACCCGTTTTTTCGTTATCATCTGATAACAATGTTTTCGATTCCTTCCTCTTTTCCCAATCAAGCACAAATGAATAAGTTGGCCTTAAATACTTATTAATTAATTTAATTTTAATATAAGATTTTATTTCCAATAAAAGTATTACTATACAATTTTAATATTAGTGCCAAAATTTTCTTCCAAATTATCCTTTTGTGATGTAAAAAATTAATCAGATAAAATTAAGTTATCAAATACAATTATTAAAATTAAATTATTATTTAAAATTAAAATTTTAATTCTAAAATTAAGTTATCAGATAAACGATTATTTCTTCTTTTTTCTTTCACATATAACTATTTCACCATCACCAATTACCTTGCAGATGGTGGTATAGAAATAGATAAGGTAAAACCACTGATACGATTAGTTTCACCGTATTCAAAGATCATTATTCTATCAAACCAAACCGACTGTTCGCTTGCTGATTAATTTTTTGCTATGAAAAAAATAATTGAAATTTAAGATTTTAATCTTTCTCTTATCTTTTGATATTGCCAGCATTTTAAATTGAAACTTACTTTGGTCACATTTCTAAAATTCCCAAAATTTGCATACGATTGCCATATAAATAATTCATAATTAATTTCTTGCTTTATTTAACAAATATTTTATACGATTAATTATATAATTACAAGGCTGCATAATTAATTATAATTTGCAATAAATTATTATTAATTTAATTTTTTATCGATTTCAAATTTTTCTAACAAATTTGCATAATTTCTAATTTAATCGCATTTGTGCTTTTTCTCATTTCAATTCTATTCTGATTAAATATTTTTTGAATTTCAGGAAATTTTATTATCCTTTGATCAATAAATTTCATATATAGCATTTTGCAGGAGAAAGAGAAGAGAGAGAGGGAGAAAGAGAGAGAGAGATGTGGGAGAAGGTAAAAATATGGAACAGATTTATTGAAATTATCAGTTTATTCATTAATGATTTATTATCAGTTTATTCAATAATGACTTATTATCAGTTTATTCATCAATGATTTGTTAGTTTATTTCATTAATGATTTATTATCAGTTTATTCATTAGTGATTTATTATCAGTTTATTCATTAATGACTTATTATCAGTTCATTTATTAATGATTTATTCATTAATGTTTCATTTTCTTTATGAGCAAGCGTCCAAAGAATATAATATGACTAAACTTCCAAAATTTTCCAACCTTCATTTCAAGAATGATAAATTTAAGAACTAGTAGTAGTAGTATATCATTGATAATATAACCCTTACTAAAATTTTTTAATCACATATTCTATTTATCTCACATTATCAGTAAAATGATATCTCGTAATTGTACTACTAATAATAGCTAATATTGAATTAAGTGGTACCACTAAATTTGAAATATATTTTAAACGTCTTTATAGATAATCTGTGCGAAAAGCGATTGTTAACAGAATTGCGTTATCATCGATAATATCTCTTACTGTAACTTTCAAATCATATATTCCAATCATCAGTGAATGAAATCTGTTTGAATCCATAATTTATACTGATATTAAAAGATCCTGGGAATATTTTGGATTGGCTCAACTAGAAAGTTTCCATAGATAGGCATTTCAGTTCTACTTGCTGGTTTTACTGATTGAGTTCTTTTCATTTAATTCAGAATAATTCTATCGAATTTTTTGAATTGAAAAATTTTTGCAAACTGATTGTCTGTTTATTGAATAAATTAATTCGATTTAATTTTAATTAATTTGCTGCAAGAATTTAATTAACATTATATTAGCTGAAGTTAATTCGCTTTGTTAATTCTTTGCTAAAATACAATAATGTCGAATATATTTCAGAATGCATTTGTAGGAAATAATTTTTGCGCCACTTGTCAACAAAAAATTAACCTTAGCTAATTTAATCTAGTAGTAAAATTTAATTTTAGGAATTTGAATTAGTAATAGTAAAATTTAATTTTAGGAATTTGAATTAGCAAAAAATAAATGATTTAAAAGATAATTTAAATTAATAAATTATTGCTGTCATTTATTTCAAATATTAATATTAATAAAATTAAGAAATTTTTGAAATATTTTAAAATATTCATCTTGCTTTTGTTTAAGAAAGACAAATTGATGTATGCGATTTCTACGGTTCAACTACGAACTATGAAATACTAAAAATTATTGCCATCTAAATAATTTCTAGTATTTTGTAGTTCAAAATAAATAGCACACATTAATAATTTATTTTAAATTTTACTCATTTCATTCTAAATATTTAATTTGCTATTAAAATAATGCATAAGACATTAAATAAACTTATATTTCAATAATTAACTGAATGTTTTTATATTCGAATAGCTTTTTTAAATAATTTATTTTAGATGTAAAATGACCGTAAACATTTGTTTATGTAAACATTTGCTTACATATTTTTATTTCATGCATCTTTGTCCATTTCATTAGTGATGGATTAATTTAAAATAGCTTAATTAGCAAGCTTGCATGCTTTCTATAAAATAAATAATTATTTTAAAATGCTAAAATTTTAATTTAAGTATTCGTGCAAAATTTTAATTTAAGTTTTCGCGAAAAATTTTAATTTAAATTTTCATATGAAATTTCATTAGTGATGGATTAATTTGAAATAGCTCTACTCTCAAAGCTTGAATGCTTCCGTTAAAATAATTATTTCAAAATGCTAAAATTTTTAATTTAAGCTTTCATGTAAAATTTTAATTTAAATTTTTATATGAAAACACTTTTAAATATATATGTCTATATAAAAACAAAAGATTTTATGATAAAATAACAAAAAGGATTGTTTTTTTTCCCCGTAATGATAATTTTATTAATTATCAGAATGATAATCGTAAAAGCATATATGGCAATAAATATGCATATATATGTAAGGTGAAATATGCAAAATAAAAAAAAATGATAATTTTTAAAAGTTTGTTTCAAATCAGAAACTTAAACAGGTGACATCTACGATCATTAAAAGGTAAAATAGAAAAGGAATAGGAAGTTTATTTCGTATTTTCACTTATCAGAAGTTTTTCTATGATATGTGACATTAGAAAAAATGTAAGTAATTAAAAGAAAAAGATAATTAAAAGATTTGACATTTCACCACGAGACATATATTTTGAATGATTATTTTTGCCACCTCAACTTAAACTAAAACATTTTGATCGACAAATCCAACTTCGATGATGTCCACCAAATGGAAACGGTGAACATAAAAAGCTATACATCATGGGTGATAGAGGTGGATAACCATAAATAAGTGATTGTCCATAACGTCCACTACCGGTACCAGTGCTAATGGTAGCATTGCAATGACCGAAACCATAATCGAAATTAGATAATGGCATCTGAAATAAAATATCTTCAATCGCTAAATTTTATTCGTTCAGATGTTATGGTGATAATGAAATATAGCAATTTTGTGGTGATATCGAAATATAGTAATTTTGTGGTGATAACGAAATATAATAATATTGTGGTGATAATGAAATATTGCAATTTTGTGGTGATAACGAAGTGTAGTATTTCGTCGTGATAACGAAATATAGCTTTACGAATATAATAAATCCTTTAATAGTCAATAATATCTTGAATTAATTATCTAAATTTAATGAATAATTAATTATGTGAATAATATTTTATAGAAAAACAATACGTTACGAACATAGTGAATAATTCCTTTTATTAAACAATATATTATATTTGGAAAATTATTTTTTCTCCAACTATACTATAAATATTTATATGAATCATCTTTTACAGTAAATAACATTTTTCATAAGCTTTGAAATAAATATTTTTCCACTCTTAACTATTTATGAATATTTGTTTATTTATGTAAACAATCTTTTGTAGTAAACAATTTCTTATATTTTTTCCAAATAAAAAAAATGAATATTAACGTAAATAATTCTTTATAAAATTTTTCTTTGAAATTTTATCTTATTTAATTTTATTTTCTTAACATCTTCTTTATCACAATGATAAAAAAATATCTTTTACAGTAAGATGTATTACTAATTATCTTCGATAATAATTAGTAGTACTTTAATATACTATCAAGTAATACTTTGCATGACAAGTTTAATAGAAAAATAGTAATTGTAAACAGACAAGAAAAATAAATAAACTCTTCTTTTATTAAATTTTACTTATTTAATTAATTTATAACTTAACTTATTTTAATTTAATTTATTTTAATTATAACAAAAACAAAAAATGTACAGAAGAAAATGGAGCAATTCCCCAATGAGGTAAAATGTGGTAAGAATTAAAAATTTGTAGTAATGCATCTTTTTGACTTTCGCGATACGATGGTGGCGGCTCTCGTAAGCAACTTGTCGATCGTAGCGATGATCGTTCTAATCGAGCAATATCCTGAAAAGAAACGATTAATAATTTTCTTTTTCTTTTAGAATTAATTAGTTTAATTTTTTTCTTTTGATTATAAAACTATAAGCAAAATTTTTAAAATAAATTGCAAAGCAAATAAATCTCTACTAATTAATAACATATGTCTAAAATTAAGATGACAATGTAGCATAAAGATCTGTAGCACACATATATAATTATTTATATTAATTTGATAAATATTTCATTTAGTTAATTAAAACAATGATAAGATTGATAACGAAACATACAAGTGAAACTGAATCGGATCGAAATGGATGTGCGTATAAATATCGTTGTACTGTATATATTTTTAAACGTCGTTTACCAAGAAGTAGAAGTTGTCGAAATTCATCATCTGTTGCCACAATACTCTATCCAAATTGAAATTAATTTCACAAATTTGCATAAAGAAATTTCAATTAAATCTTATGCAAGAATATAAAAAATAAAAATTATGATTAATAGTGATAATTGTAATATATTTGGAATGATTAATTGATAAGTGATATTTGGAATTCCGTTAAATTTAAATTCTAAATTCGAAACATTCACGCAGATGTAATTAACTTTATGATATTGTAAAATGAAAAGAGAAAGCGAAATTTAAAACAAATCACCTCATTACCATATTTATCATTACTTGCTAATACATCATTAAAATCTGGCAATCTTCGACGAATTTTTCGTAATAAAATCTATAAGAAAGTAAATGAGTTGGCAGTAAATTAAATTCATAAACTTTTTCAGTTGAAAAATTTGAATTTAAAAGAATATCAAATCAAAAAGTGATGGTTAAATTTAAATGAATTTTATGATTAATACTTGAATTATTTATTGAAATAATTAAATTAATACAATAAGATAATTTTAGTAATTTTAAATAAGCATTATCGAATTTTCAATAGATGGACTTTACTTCAAAAGCATCATTTTGAGCTAATTCTTGCTGTGTAAGAATAAATTTATATTTGTGGCCATGATGATTCCATTTCACTTTCAAATCGCCGCAATTATGCTTCATTTCGTTCACTAAACTAGCTTACAATAATAAAAAATAAGATACTGTAAATGCTATTTTATCGTATGCAGTCATAACCGTATACCACTTATTATATACGAACGTATAACGTTTCTTATGATTACTATTGTAATGTCATTTTACCATATGCAATTGTTTAAGCATTATACCATTATGAAATAATATAACTTAATATAAGAATAGTATCCAACACAATAATAACAATTAATGATAATACTAATTAGTAATCATAATTAGTAATGATAATAATAATAACAATAATAATAATAATAATAATTAGACATAAAAATAATAATATCTAAATTCCAAAAACAAAGCACATAATTGAAATGCTGAAAAAGGAATTTAACCATTGGGACATGTAGTAAACTGCATCGAATACAATAGTTATAACAAACATTAATTATTAGCTAACAAATAGATACAACCGACGAATCGAATTAGAATAATTAATTGGTGTAATTGAAAACTTAATTACCAATTGCAGTACAATAAAAATAAACAAACAAATTATTACTTAGACTTTGCATTTAGAACGAAATAAAGAAACACTGTAAATTAGTAAAGAATTTTCTTTTATAATTTTATTTTTCAGTTAAATTGAAAACAATTTGTTTGTGTGATTCTTCTTCATTTGCAAATTAAAAAATATGCACAAAAATAAATAATAATATTATTAATATTATTAACAATTAATAATAATAATTAATAATAATTAATAATAATTAATTTTTAAATTTTATAAGCTAATAATGAAAAACGCGGAAAAAGAAAGTTATGAAAGCTGAAAAAAACATAAAAAATCTCTTGAAAAATTCATATAAATTTTAAATGAGAAATCTTTGAATATTTCTTTTAATTTACAAAGATTTTTTTCCCATTAAAGAAAATACTTTTTCTAGTACTTTAACGTTTTAATTAATAATTAATTATCAATATCAGCACCATTAATTATTATTATCAGAATTTACTGATAACACAATGTAGAATGAAATAAATGAATAATTAGTACTAATATCTATCAATATGAGAATTTACTGATAATACAATGTAAAATGAAAAAATCATTCATTAGTATCAACATCTATCAATATCAGAATTTAACTGATAACACAATGCAGAATGAAAAAACAATCACTAATTAGTACCAATATCTATCAATACTAGAATTTACCGTTAACACAAAATGAAAAAATCAATAATTAGTACTAATATCAACCAATATTAGAATTTACTGATAATAAAATGTAGAATGAAAAAACTCAATAAGTACTAATATCAATCAATATCAGAATTTACTGATAACACAATGTAGAATGAAAAACAAAAACTAATTAGTACCAAGATCTATCAACATCAGAATTTACTGATAACATAAAATGAAAAAATCAATAACTGATAACACAAAGTAGAATGAAAAAAATCAATAGGTACTAATATCAATCAATATCAGAATTTACTGATAACACAATGCAGAATGAAAAAATCAATAATTAGTATCAATATCTATCAATATCAGAATTTACTGATAACACAATGTAGAATGAAAAAAATTAATCAATATTGAATATTTTGAAATTTCAAATTTAGCATTTAAATAATTCAAAAGTTAGCATTGTTGGGCAATTACTATTTCTTTCGACAAAAACGAAGAAATCAATCAAATAATTTTTATTATCATCAAGAGATTATAATGAAATATGCAAACATAAATAATATTTAATTTTGAAAACTTTTAAATTTAAATCGAATTTTTCAATTATTTCAAAAAAATAAAGATAGAAATAAATGTAACGAAATTTTTTATAAACTTAAAATAACTGAAAAACAATAAAAATTTTATTTTCAATAATGATAAAATTATTATAAACAATTATATAACATTAACATAATAATGTTAATAGCAATTATTAGATAATAATGATGATAATTAGGATATTAGTTGATGATGATATAATAATGATTGTTATTGTGCTAATAATGATAACAATTAGAGAGAATAGTAGTAGTTAGTATAATAATAACACGAAATTAAGCAATAATAATCAATATGATAAGTTATCATTAACAAAAATAATTAGTGACAATGATGAATATTATTATTGCTATTAATATTATCATACAAATAAATGATTATAGCACATTTTCTTTTCATTATTAATTAAGTTCCTTTTTCTCAATTTAAATATTTCGGAAAGAAAAAAGCATAAACATTCCATTAGTGGAACTAAGTTTGATTTAGAGATCTATTCAGTGCGATCGGATAATAATAAATTCTTATAAGAAAATGATAGGATAGGATTTTTTTGAAAGAAAAATATTAGAGAGAGAGAGAGAGAGAGAGAGAGAGAGAGAAATGATTAGAAGAATGCTATATGCTAATTACTTTAAATATTTTGTGAAAAAAAAAAATGAAAATGAAAATACAACGATTAAAGATTAATATTTCAAAACAATTTTATTTACCGAAAAAAATCCTAAAATATAAGCAAAAATTTTTGGCTAAAGTTCAATACTAAAAATATAACTAAAAAATGATATAACAGATATAACACGATATAACTAAAATATAACTGAAAGATATAACTATAAAAGATATAAATGTAACTAAAAAATATAACTATAAAAGATATTAGCGAGAGAAATAACTAAAAATCCTTTAAAGAAAGATATGACTAAAAAACCTAAATTATAAAATGTAAGCGAAATTTTTGGTTAAAATAAAAGATACTGTAAAAGGGATAAGTAAAAATCCTAAAATGTAAGCGAAATTTTCGGTTAAATACAAAATACTGTAGAAGATATAGCTAAAAATCCTAAAATACGAGCAAAAATTTTTGGTTAAACTACAAAATACTGTAAAGAGATAACTAAAAATCCTAAAATATAAGCAAAAAGATTTTTTGATTTAATTTAAAATACTGTAAAAGACAAATGAAAAAGTAAGGATAAAATAGAAACGTGTAAAGCGAGAAAGATAAACGATAATAGTATAATAATTATTTTTGTTTCGTTTTCGTTTCGTTTTTCGTTTTCTTTCTTTTTGTTAAAATAATTTTAACCAACAAATTGTTTTGCATTTTCGTTGGTTGAATGAGTTTTTCCACAATTTCAGTTTCATTTATCCCACATGAAGTATATGCACTTTCAACGTTGAAAATACGTCTTCATCTTTCCTATATCATACATATACATTCCACAATTTTTCGGCATATAATTTTCATTCAACAACGAACGCCTACCTATTTTCGATTTCTATTTTTCTTTTTCCGTTCAACTCTTCCATGCATTCGATTTTCTCGTTTTTAATTCGAGAAAAATACGATAATCGAATTACCAATGATTTCTGATTTTCTATTATAATTTGAATATTTCTAATTTATTAAATGTAAATGATAGCGATTAGCATTGAAGAAAATTAGAAAATAAATTAATAAAGAATAGCAAATATAGCAAATATAGAAAAAGTATCGAAATTCAAGAAATTAATATATATATAAATAAATTGGAAAACAATAGCAAATATAGAAAAAGTATCGGACTTCAAAAAATAGATATATATATATTTAATTATTATTAAAATACTAAGCCTAACTTTATATTCAATCATTTGGAAGTTTTTTTAGATCAGAAATTTTTTGAAAATTTATTTATTTTAGAAAGTAAAAAATTTTTTAGAAATATTATATCAAGGAATGAAATTAAAAATAAATTTTTATTATTTTAAATTTGAAGGAAAAAGAAAATGTGAATTAAAAATAACATTTAGTAATTATTTTTTTTTTAATAATTTAATAAAAAAAAAATTTCGCAAAAATGAATAATTAATGGAATATAAATTGTATTGCAAATAATAAATGTAAAAAAAGAAATTTCAACGAATACGTGCTATTACCCCATTTTACATCTGCCATTCTACATTATTTCAACATTTTTTCAACAATTCTTTTTTTGGTAATTCCTTTGTGATATGAAATAATATTAATCTTCCACTGCAATAAGTTTTCACTATCAAAAATGTTGAAATTTTATTGGAAAAAAAAAATCAATTAATCATTTTTAAAAAAAAGTGAGAAATGTAGAAAAAAAACGTTGAAAAAAATTTATAATATACAGAAAATAATTTTAGTATATATTTTAATAATTTTAGTATATATTTAGGATATATTTAATTTTAGCATATATATTTTTTTAGTGCATATTTAAATATACCAAAAATTTCAGAATATATTTAAATGTACTAAAAATTTTAGTATATAATTAAATAAATTAAAAATTTGTTAAATTAAAACAGAAATGAGAAATTTGTGCTTTTCATTTTAGATTTTTCTTTAAAATTTAAATTTGAAAACATAATTTTTTTCAAATATTCTGTTAGAATTAAATGTATTTTTTTTAAAGCTTAAATTTGAATTCGTTATTTCATAAATTTTGTTTTTAATAAAATAATTAAATAGAAATTTTAAGATTTTTTTGGTGGAAGAAAAAGCTTTAGTTATAAAAAAATTTCTCGCAGAAATATTATTTGCTTTTTTAATAAAAAGGTAAAATCAAATTAATTAATTATTACTAAAAAAAAAAAGTAGGAAAGAAGTTTTTCAGTTTTTATATTTACTTCATAAATATTCCTGTAATTGAATTTTAATTTCAAGGAAAAATGAAAAATGAAGCTTTTTATACTTTATATAATAATATGATAATTATAGCATAATAGAGATCAGAAATATCATCCATCTTCTTCATATGATATCATGATTTTAGCACAATTAAGATAAGGAATGCTTTATATTTTCTCCATACAATATCATGATTATAGCATAATCAGCACTAGGAATATCATTCATCCTCCTCATATGATATCATGATTGTAGGATATTCGAGACAGGGAACACCTTATGCCTTCTCTATATAATATCATGATTATTAGTATAATCAAGATTATCAATATCATCCATCTTCCTCATAATGATATCATCATGATT